CACTGCTCTCAGAATCACCTCCTTGCTCATTCAGAAGAAATGCAATTGTCACTTCTGGGGAATCTGGCCACTTAAAAAACAAAAAAGAGAAGGAAAAATAATTATCCTTTGAGAGTTTCCTTTCCCCCAGAGCTGCACCTCTCCAGCGGGGCTGGTGCTTTCGGAGGGCTCACAGCAAAGCGCAGGGCAGCTGCCAGCCCGGGCAAGGATCCGAGGCAGGCGCAGGTGGGTGGGCATCAGAGCTCAGCCCCCTGGGGCTCGGCTCTGACCACCAGCCGGGCTCTGGCAGGTGGGGGTTCCCACTCGCCCCAGGAGGGTCCCGGCCCCTTGGGACGATCCCGGCCCCCCCAGGCAGCCCAGTCTGGGTCCGGCCCAGCCCATCTGGGTCCCATCCGCAGCAGCCCGGGGCTCCAGCTGGGCTGATGGTTCCACCAGTCCCTGCCCTGGTCGCTGGTTCGACTGACAAACTGCCCGAGCGTCCCTACACCCGTGCGCTGGTACCACCACCGTCCTCGGCAGGAGTTTTGCAGAACCCAAAGATTATAAAATCTAAGCGGGGGCTAAGCCTCACGAGGGTTACAGCTCTTCTCAGGAAGCTTTCATAAACCCAGGATGAAGAGAGACATTTAAACACACACCACCGAGCACCATCACCAAGGCTGATCTGGATGAAGACGTCCCTGCTCATTGCAGGGGGCTTGGACCAGACGAGCTTTAGAGGTCCCTTCCAATGCAAACCATTCTAGGATTCTATGAAAATAGGGAAAATATTCTTAAAATCTGGAGAGGCTGGGTGCCTCCCATGCGCCCATACTTGCCTGCGGTGGGTGCTGCCTGCAGCTCTGCCCACAGGGACAGGAGCCCCAGCAGGAAGATGCCTCTCGCCGTCATGCTGCCCAAGCCTCTGGCCGGGGCTGAGCCGGGCAGCAATTTAAAGTTCCTCCCCAGCAGCCCAGGTCCGGGAATGGGAGGAAGTAGCTCGCAGGTGACTTGTAGGAACCTCCCACGTTTTACTGTAATTCTGTTTTCTACAGAGCCGCTCCAGCTGCCTTTCTCCACCCACAGCTAAGGCAGGAGCAGGATCCAGGGTCAGCTGCACGCTGCCGGAAGGACAGCACGGGGCTGGGATGCAGGGAAGGGGGAGCCCCGGCTGTGGGGGGGTTGGTTCTTCACCGCTGCTCTTGACAGGAATCCCCACCACCTCGCTGAAGGCTGTGACCGACCCCTCCGCCTCTGCTGCCCAGCAGCACCCAGGGACAAGCCATCCCCCCTGCGAGCCCCAGCACACAGGACACTGCTGGTGCCTCCCTGCGATGCCAGGTGGGAAAAGGCAGGGGTGCCCGCGCCTGCTCCCCCTCGGCTCCGTTCCTGCCAGTCCCTTTGGGCAGGTCCCCACCCCAGCAGGACCTCCCTGGAGAACCGTAAGCAGAGGAACCGTTTCCCCTCGGCAGCCTCCCCGAGCTCAGGCTGCTCCCCAGCACTGCGAATCCAGCGGAGGGGTCTGCTCCGGTGAAACGGTGCTCCGATGAAAGGGAGCTCTCTGGAGGGAAAAGTCTCGGGGTTTCAAGGAGAAGAGCTCACGCAGGGCAAGGAGAGCACAGAAATCTGCCTTCAGACCCCAGATCCAAGCCACCAGCCTTCGCTGGAGACCCGCATTGAGAGTAAATGAAAAATGAAATGCAGTGCCACGTTCACTCCTCTTTCCTCCACAGCTGGTCTCAGGGCAAAGACCTATTGAATATGCTTGAGATAACAGATTAAGTAGTAACTTCAGTTATGTGTCGACCCATTTAAATTAAGTTATTCGCACAGAAGGGCTTGTCAGAATCTGATTTTGCAATTTTCCCCTTCCCTCCTTGATTACTTCTTCTTCAATTGCAGACAAACCAACGTGCAATCAATATCATAGGAGAACTCAGGGACTGGTCTGGACACACCAGCACCAGGCAAGAATGGGCTGGACTTGCTGGATCAGAAGACAAGAGTTTAAATCTGCAACCGTGGGGTGCGGGAAGTTAACTGTTTGAGCTCCACAGTTCTAAGCACGTGCGTGCCATGAAAACTGGAAAGGCAAAGTTCCTGCCCAAAGAGCTTTCCGTCAAAGTCACGTGGAAGCCATGCAGGGGCAGCGCGAGGGACGCGACTCAGGAGCGGGAGGGCACACGGCTCCGTGCTGCCAAGCCTGCGCGGGAAGAGGGCTCGTTGCACGAAATATGCTTTAACTACAGCCTGAGTCCTCTCCTCGTGGCCGTGACTCAATTGGATGCAATTTCTATGCAAACCGCCTGTCTCTGTTGAAGATCCAGTGTTCTGCACCTCGCAGTTCCACAGCTTAATCCGATGGCCTGGTGTTTATCTCGCATTGCTCTTGCTGTTAATCACCATTGAGCAGGACGAGCTCACCCCACGGAGCAACCTGTGCTGTCCTGCCAGTGCCGGCAGCGTCGACTCCCTTCCACGCACCCGGCAAACCATCTGGAATGACTTGCGGGACTGCAGGGCTCCTTACAACCCCGGAACTCCTGCGGTGGAGAGCCCTGCCCCTGCCCCTGGCCCTGGCCCCCGTGCTCACCTGGTGGCTCCCCCTCTTGGGAACAACGCCGTCCTTCTGGCACGTTTCCGTTTCGGCAGACCACAATCCTGGTTAACATTTAGGGAACTAATGAAGGAGAATGACTTACAAGCACATTTCTCTGCTGAAATGAGCGCCTCGGGGAGGTGAACCCTGCAGGTCCTGTTCCAGCGACATGACTCGGGGCAGAGCAGGATCGCGCCTGCACCCGTCACACGCAGCAGTGCGGGTCCTCCCTGACCCCCTGTGCTGCTCGTCCTCTCACGCCGCAGCCCCACGCAACCTGCAAGGGCAGACCCAACACCGCCACCGGGATCCAGCAGGATAACAAAGCTTTGCCTGCAAGAGTCTCGCTGCAAACCAGGATGTGGGGTGGGGCTCAGCAAGCTTTCCGCTGCCGCCAAAGCCTGCCCGCGCTGAGGACACTGCGGGATGGATGGGCCTTGTCCAAAGTCTCCCTGTGAATCAAAGCAGAACTCTGGTACCCTGGTTCGTCTCTGGCAGACACTGGCAGGCTGGCGTGTTTGGTCGCATGCACCTACCGTGCGGATCCACGGAAAAATTCCCATTAAAACCGGGGGACTGGAGGAGATCCAAACAAGTCATCCCAGCAGTTGCATTTAGGCGATCCCTGACAGACATTGCTCTGAACGCTCTTAAGAACCCATCCCTTCACTGAGCATTTTGTTCCAGGATTTAAGTGTTCTTGTAATGGGAAAGTTTTTCCAAAGATCTGATCCATGTCTCACTTGATCCCAGCCAACACAGGGACTTCTTGTCCGCTCGCGGTGGGTACAGAGAGCAACCGATGGCTGCAGCGCGTGTACAGAGCTGAGCCCTCCCTCCACGGAGCTTTCACACGCTAAACAAACCCGTCCCGTTCACCTTTCCCCATGAGTTTCTACATCCATAGTTATTTTTCCTCTCCTCTGGACAGCGTCCAATTTTTGCTGCTGACCACTTGGAGCAACCAAAATAAGCAGATAAAAATCCCGGTGGTGACAATAATGAAGCGATAGCAATGCTGACGATGACTTGATTGGCCCCACATCTGCGGGTCAGGTTTGTGTCACAGACTGATCTCACCCTGGGCTGGTGCAGCCCTGGCTGAAGTGGCAGGAAGGGGACAAGGGCAGGAGCCTCTTCCAGCGTTGGAGTCACCCAGCTGCTCCTCCCGCCCCGGGCTGGCCTCCCATGCGTGCCCAGCATGGTTACTGTCAGCCGGCAGCTATGGCAGAAGAATGCCGCTGGTCACACAGGGGGGACGCAGGCGGATTGACACCAACAGGCCTCTGGAGGCACCACCGCCGTGCCCACACCACAGGCACCGGTCTGGAGCATCCGGCAAACCTGGCAGAGAAGGAGAAGCTGCTCTCCCTCCCCGCGGCACGGCAAAGGCCGACCCCTCTCGCACGTGGAGCGTGTCAGGACAGCGAACTGGAAACGCCTGCTCGAGCACGCGCCTGCTCCGCACCGTCCTCCACGCCGGCCGCTCCCAGCACGGGAGACCGGGCGGCCTCAACACGGCGCGCTTGGGGAAATCCCCTTCGTTTGATTCACCGCCTTGGCAGTAACAAGGACAAATGTTACCAGCAAAACAGCAAATGTTTTTTTAACCAAAGAAAACGTTGTTTTCCACCAGACCCAGCAGAAAAGCTTCTTGCTGGCCACGAGACGCGGTAAGAAGGTCTGGGAAACGACGCACAAGCGGGTGTCGGCCACTCTGCCCGCGTTAGACTGATGAGGAAGCACCGGTTGCGAGTGTTTCCTCAGACAAACAACGAGATTCCAGAGCGATGAAGGACTCGTAGGAAAACGCCACTGGAACTGCCACGAGCTCATTTTTCTGTCTCAGGCGTAGAATGTGACACGACAAGGAACGCACAGACCGAGGGAGGAGGAGCAGAAACATCCCGCTCCCCCGCTCCGGGCCGGGGATCGCTCCCGCGGCCCCCGCCCGGCGCCGTTGCCATGACATTGCGTCACTTCCGGCGCGCGGCTCGGGCGTCGTGGCCTGATGACGCGCACTG